GCACACTTTCATATAAAAAAGTGTATATATACTTTGTTATAAATAAATAAATCGTGCATACATATGCATGTGCCTGTTACTTACCAGCCAACCATCAGGATTTGACGGTTTGATGACTTCATCAGATCAGATCATCTTCCCTCCCTTAACTTCTTGTGCCTGGAAAATGTCAAAAATATTTTGGTGCATCGCTTTCGAGTTTAATGAAACACCCGACCATGAAATTTCCTTAATATTGACAAACATTAATTTACTCCATATTTTATTTTCTAAGTGACATAATGTGATTGATGACTAATGATATTATATTTTCTTATCCAATGTTATATTTTTATTTTTTTTCTTTAACATTATGATGATTAAACATTAGATTACTGATATAATTAGATATAAGAGTTTACAAATTTAATAAAATAATTTAATTCATAAAAAAATTGCAAAAAGGCATAGAGTTTGGCCCATAGGCTATTGTCTCTTGACCTAACGTGGGATCAACATTGGCAACTTTGCCCAAAGTGAGCATGCCAATGAAGCCCAATTAGCTGGAGATAAGTTGTTATACCATGGACTAGGGTCTACCTTATAAGGTGGACACTGATCCTAAACAACGTATAAATTGTGTATTTTTAGTATTTGAATTGTGAACTTCTAGAATATAAATTGTGTTTTAAAGTCAAATCGACACATAGCATTTGTAGAAGAGAATTTGTGAATATTATGAGACTGCAATATTTTCTAGGTTTACAAACGGAGCCTAAGTATCGAACTCAATTAACATATATCAACACAATGGCGACTTGCTGAATGTATTTTTAATTCAGCCAACAATGAATAGCTATCGTTCTTCCCATGAACATACTTCCTTGATATTGTGGATATGAAAATGGATGGGCATTATTACTATACATGAACTAGTATAGCTTGGTGGAGTTGTGATTAAGAGTAGTGTTTATTGCTTCTGAAGCAAATGTTCTGCAATGATGAAGTAAATATTCATCTCACCTGATAATGATCTTCTTCACTGATGCATGCATGCCCAGATGCACTGATTCAGTGATGAATTACTGCATGTTTGGATAAGGAAAGCAGTGCTGATATTTCCAGTGACTGATCACAAACTGCCTTCAACTTGTGTCAGCAATAATGGTTTGTCTAGTTATATATTCAAAAAAAAAAAAAAAAAAAAAACGAACATCACTACTGAAAATTATGGAATTTCTGACTACCTGAAAGTGATCTTAAATCAAGTTGAAAGCAAAAAGTGGTCAGAAATAGCAACAAAGGTTTTTCGGGATACCAAAAGTGGTCGGAACAAGGCTTTCGACTTGATTTAAGATGATTTTCAGGTGGTCGGAAATTTCATAATTTTCAGCACTGCATTAAGAATTGCGGGATGTATATATGTGTCTCTTGAGCATATAATATGTAAACATAAATTTGCAATCCAACTATCCGCTCAGACTTTTAGTTGAATTAAAACACATCTTTCAATTTGGTATCAGAGTCAAGTATATCCCCACGTCAATTTACATTGTTTTAAAAAAATTTAAATGTGGGCGCTTAGCTTGTTCCGTTTCATTAAAGATTTGTATGAGAAGATGGCATTATATTGGAAGTTGGAGGCCATGGGAATGTTTAGTAAGAAAGGCATGGAATCATGGTGTTTTTGGCGTGAAAGAGAGGAGATGCCTATAAGTGTATATTATAAAAATTGTCATAAAATATTCCAAAGATAGTTTAAAAGAATAAAAGTAGCAAAAGTGGTAGCAAACTCCCTGGAAAAATGCTACCCAATACATAAAAGTTCACAGGATAATTAAGCTCACAACTAATCATAAATTAAAGACGTAAACTAGCGAGCGAAAGATGTATTCTGAGTGAAGCTTGACACCTTAATCAATAAAAGACCATAAGAAAATAAACCAGCAACACGAATGTGTGTTCTAGGTGAAACCCATTTTATATTCTACCTGACAAAAAGCCACAAGCTAGCATAAGTTTCCCAAAGCTAACTACTCCCATTCGGAGTCGAATTTGGAACATTGTGGTTACTAAACCGGCCAATATTTCACTACATGTACTAATTCTATTAAAAGAAGGGAAAATTTTGAACTCTGTCATATTCTAATATAAAAATTATAATCCACCCACTCAATCATCCTTTTTGGGACTAACTCTAAAAAAAAAAAAAAAAATCAATTAAAGCTTGTCATGTACATAAAAGTAAAAACAGAATAAAAAGTGAGAGTAAATAATTTAATAGCTTAGAACAATCGATAAGCAAACTTATAATACAACTATTAAAAAAAAAAAAAAAACTCTTATATATATGAGTCATGTTAAAAGAGCATATATAACTAGTATTGTCACAATTCCATTTTCACAGCATGAATGTGCATACCACATAGATAGAGAGAGAAGTTAGGTAATGTAACAACCATTGTGATTAATATAACACCATAAAAAGTCAAGTCAACAAGCTAGGAAAAAAGACTTGGATACATTGTTGAATTAAAGGGCATAAATGATGGAAGAATCACTACAAGCAGTGCAATGCCTGCACCATTTTTGTGCCACTATAAGTGATCACAAATAATTGTTAGTTGGTTCTTGAAGAAAATATATGCAATTATATCTTAGCACCAACTGCTTTACTTTATGATTTTTTTTATTTTTTATTTATTTATTTATTTATTTTTTTGGTGAGAGAAACCATAGTTATTTTCTGAAAGTGTTCACTTGATAAACATATCTTGTGACCCTAGTCGATAAAAGACTACAACTCATAGTTGACTGACTTAAATTAATAAAGACAAAAAATTACTTACGTTAGGAGTCAAACTTGTAACATTGTAATTACCAAGTAACCCTATGACTAATAACTTTGAGGAGGCCATCCGAGGGGGAAAGTTGAGACTAAAAGCTTGACTACTCATACTTCAATTCATTCAATTCCTCTTTCGAATTCATTAGCCGGCAAAGGAAAAAGTCCATTTTGTTCCTTTCTGTATGTTTGCCCCACCACCCATTCATCATATCACCCAACCAGTTCAATTCTTTCGACCGACCGATCTTAGCAATGATCTATGGAGTCAAAAGATGTTGCCTAGGAGTGAAGGAATAGGCAGGCTACATAAATCCATAATCTCAAACTCATCCACTAAAAAAAAGTATTTCATCGTTGGTTCAAAAAAAAAATATTAAATAAGAATAAAGACAAACAAAATATAAGAATTATTAATGGCCGTACAAGTGTTACATATGCATAAATCAGTGTTGTAAAAATTGATTTAGACAGCCGACTAGGCGCTAAGCACTCCTAGGTCGAGACAGTTTCAGCCCCGACTTTTAGTTAACTGGCCAACTAATATTCGAGGTTGAACCAATCGGTTTCATCTTTATTCTCTATGAGCTATGTATAGCAGGGGAGATATGTCTTAGCAGAAATTGTGGATTTATAGTGATAATAGTATAAGAGTATGATAATCTTGACCTCAAGCAAAGCATATTCTGCATCCTATTCTAACGTCGCTAAAACGGCACATTTCACTTAATAATGATGCCATTAATTAATGAAGTACACAGAATTGTGGTCATTATATTTCTTTCACTTAATTAAACTGAGACCACTATTTCTGAGTGACAACTCAACGTCGTACTATCATCAACAATTCAACATTCATCCGTAGCAAAGAAAACTTTGCCCCACACGGTCGATCAACTCAGTTAATTCTTGGGTAAAATAATACGACCAAAGATACAAAATTAAATTTGACAGAAGAAATTTCACTTATTGTGAGTAAAACAAAGAAAACTTTGTCATATATGCCTTTGAGCACTAAATTTTGGTCAGTTACTTGCCAAATTTATAACTTTATGTATTCATTAATGACTACTTTTACTTGGTATAGATAATTTTATCTTTATTAATTCACCTAATTTTTTCACATATTTACTAATGTTATGAAGCCGAAATATCATTCCGTCATAAATTCATCAGTTAAGTATCAATGGGGAGTTGAAGTCTTACTAAGAGCAAATCATATTGTTTTGAATTGAACTCCATCCCATCCTGAAAGTCCCTCATTATCCCGTTTCTAGGGTCTTGTGGGGAATTGAAGCTAAGGTAAATCGCGTGAAGGGTTTCAATGAAGCAAGGACCACGGTTTGAGTCATGACTCTGGGTGTTTAGAAGATATTGGTTAAGGTCGTTGAACGCCAAGTTCAAAGACCTTTCGTCGAGTTGTCTTTAGGGCTTTGTAAAAAAAAAAAGAAGTAAATTTTAAGATAGACTTCAATTGAGTAGGTTATGACCGGATATTAGTTAATTAATTTAGGATGATGGAATAAAAAATGATACACATAAAATTTGTCCACAGACCAAGGGTGTATAAGGCAGACATCTTGGTCATACTAAAGCAACCAAGCAATATTCCTTCAGTGAAACAAGGGATTGTTGCACTTTCCATCTGTCACCTTTTCCATATATTCCAAGAAAGGAAAGAAATGAAAGCAATTCAATGTGAAGTTTACATGTCCCACCAACAATATAATATTTTAGTCAAAGATAATATAAACTTAAAACCTACTCCTAATCCACACACTCATCTTGATTGTTGTCAATAGCCCTTTCATTACACACAATTTCAGATCTACAAAACTCATTACTTGGATCAATCACATTATCTCTTTCTTTTTTCTTTTTCTTTTTTTTCGAAAGAAAAGACTAGAATTTTATTAAATCAAGTGTTCGAGACAAGTAGGAACAGAAGAAAATCACACAAAGGGACCAGTTTGAGAACGAGCAGCTCTAACTAGAGCGTGGACAAGCTTATTCACTGATCTAGAAATGAAACTAACTGACACTACTTCAAAGTGTCATCGAAAATCCTTGCATATGATAAGTTCACATTATCTCTTTGTTTTTTAAGATAACGAGGTTAACCTATCGCCACCACCTGAAGGTGTGTACAAGGAAACCCGCAAATCACTCGGGGGAGGTAAACTATACTAGGAAGACAAGTGTGACGGGGTCGGTCTAACAGGTGGATCAATACTATTGTTTTCTATTTGCAGACAACAATGTGTGCAGATTTTCCAAGATAGAAACAAAAATATAGACTTTCTGTGTGAACTAATAACATCCATTGATTACTAGCTAGAAGAAGCTGCCATTAATTTTCCCATCACTGATGGATGGATTACAGTCAAGCTATGAGAAAACATATTCCTAGTTAAGGAAAATTCAAAACCTTGTACCTCTGAACATTCAAACTTGGTTGCTCATCACTTCATCAGCATGGGAAGCTAAGAAGATCATCATCATCATAATCATAATCTTCCATTGGAGCAGGGAGGTTGAGATCTATTAAAGGACCTCCAGTTCTTGATAGCCCTTGTTTCATGGGGGTAGAAGTGGAAGCAGAACAGGCTTCTGGGCTAACAACAATTGCTGACACTGAATCTGCAAAATGTGATCTTTTGTGCCCACCCAAAGCTTGCCCTGAAGAAAACACTCTGAAACAGATGGGACATTCATGGATTTTCTCATTCTTTTTCTTCTTCTTCTCCCCTGCATTTCCACCATTATCATCTTCTTCAAGAAGAGTCTTCTGGGCTCTGATCTTCTTGTGGCTTGCCCTGTGCCCTCCCAGGGCCTGATAAGATCTGAACACTTTGCTGCAAGCTTCACATCTATACCAACATTTCCCCTTTCCCTTCATTTTCTTCACCACTTCACAATTTTCCTCTCCATCTCTTATCCATTTGTCTTTCGACAACATCATTAAACAATACGCGACGTGTTCTTCGGGGGAGGTTTCTGAGATTGAACTGCCGGGCTCTCCCTCCACCATTGATGAAGAATAATCTGTCCCCCCCATCTTCCCTGTCCTGGTTTCAGAGATTCTTGATTTTTTCACCCTTTTGGATCGCCTGAAAACTCTCCCTGACGGGGACGATTCAGTTTCGCTCTCTGTGTCCTGAAGCACCACCGAACCGCCGCCGCCGCCGCCTGCGGCGGCGGCGGCGGAAAAAGAGCTGTCTTTCTCTCCATCATCATCCGTTTCTGAAGACGGGATTGGCTCTGTTTCTCCATGGATTCTTCGCTCCGGGTGTTTCGATTCTGCGTAAAGATTCACCATGTGAGATCTTATGTGGCCACCCAAAGCTCTGCCATTGCCGAAACTCCTCGAGCAGAACTTGCACCGGTACTTCTCCATCAAACAAAGCGACCCAAACACGAAAAAAGTGATCTTTTTTTGGTTTTACCTCACTTTTCTTGGCACACTCAAGTGCGTGTAGTGCGTGTTTTTTTCTTGAAAGACAGTGTTTTTGAGGAGTTGCAGAGGGTCAGCGAGAGGGTGAACTGAAAAGGAGTAGGTGACAAGCATTTCTCTTCTCCCACCAGAGGAGAAATATAAACACAAATACATACACTGAGATATTTACTACCAATGGCGTACTAATTAGGCATGTAAGTTTTGTAAGAAAAATAAAATTAAAAATTAAAGAATAGAAGATTGGATTTCAGAGTTGAAAAACGGCAAAAGACAATTAATTAATGAGAGCTTAGAAAAAATCAAAATCAAATAAAGAGTCTGCATGAAGGCAGAGAGAGAGAGAGGGTGGGGGTGGATGGGGGGACATGTAACATTCGACTTTTTAGCATTTATTTCCTTCCCATCTTAGACATTTCCTAAAGAGCCCTTCATAATATGCTATTTTTATCCACCAAAAGCGAAATTCTATCCCCGTGACCCACATTCTGACTCGACAAGATAGTGGCCACTTCGACCCGACAAGATAGATAAATTGCAGTGACTCAATGACTCGTTAAGTACCCACCACATGATCACATTGCGTAAAACTCTCGCACTGCGACTGTCAGGCTCGATCTGGGTGATGAAACCCTCAACATATGCATGTACAATATTTATCACTTAGCTAGGGCAAATTATAGTGGCCGGATAGGTCGTGTCCAGGAACAGAACATCTAATATGACTTGACGCTTACTTCACTTTTTGTAATGATGACACCACGATCTGTAGTGTATTGGGTAAATCTTGACACGATGTTTGTCCCAAATAGGATTGTTTTGTTATTTCCTTAGTTAGCGAGTTAGTGAGAAATTATCTAATAAAGCTACTGTGTAATCATATTGGATCATTGGGCTAGACTATATACATTACAACTCCAATTATTATTACTTATTAGATAAATTCTTAGGATGATGTTTTTTGTTGGCCATAATATATATAATCCAATCTTCTTTTCCCAGTGGAGATCTAAATTAAACCTCAATCATCCATATTGGTAGTCACATGTTCATCATGTCTTTCTCTTCTGATTCTGCTTGCAAATGCTTTGTAATATCTACTTATAATCCACATTTTATTTGACCTTACCAAAACAAAATAAAAAGGAAAAAAAAAAAAGAAAAAAAAAGAGAGAGGCTTACACATTTTGAGGCATGGACAAATTTGTGCATCTCTTGGGGGGGAAGCAAACAACATGTACTTTGCAGTGTACAGATAGATATGGAGCCATTTCGTTTTTTTTTTTTTAAAGAATAGCCATTTCGGTTTTAATTAACAAAATAAGAACTTGGCAAAGGTTATGCGAATATCCCACATCGGAGAAATATAAGTTTAATTTGAAACCCGAACTTAAAAGCATCGCTTGAGAGACTGATGGGGAATGTAAATCGCTAAATATGCCTCATTTGGCATATATGCCACTAGGGAAATTGTTATACCATGGACTGAGTGTCTACCTCGATAGACCCACGGTTGAGTGCCGATGAGCAATTGTGTACGGCACGGATTTTGGGGGTGCCCAACAACACAGTACTTCAATTTTTAGATGGTCTAATATTTATTTTTTACCTAACTACTTAAGAAATAAAAAAAATACAATTAATCTTAAAACTCATAAGTGTGTGTTTTCCCCAAATGACAAAACCGTTTTGTTTCCCCAACGGAACAGATACCGCATGAGAAATTGATTTCCCCCCTAACAGACAGATATAGCGGATTGATTTCCCCCTAACATATAGCGGCACTAGCCAGGTAGATGTTTTATTTTATTTTTCTGTTTGTGTTTTTTTGGACTTTGGAGATAGCAGGTTAGTAAGATTCTTATTGTTTGATTTTGAAGATTGTGCTTATATTTTTTTTGTAGGAATTCAGTTATTTACAAGAACGAGACCTCAAAAATCCCAAAAATAGCCCTGCATTATATTATACTAGTTTTTTTTACGCGCTTTGCGCGAATGGGATAATGCCCAATAATTATTTTTAAATAAGTATTTCAAAGTATATCAATGTAATATTATATAGGAGATGTTCATGCATAGGTAAATAAATATTGTCAATAGAGGATGCTAATAAATAATTCAAAATATATGGTTACAATAGATATTGATATAATGATATAGTAAAAAATATTAATACCATAATGGCCTAAATCATTTCAATAATGCAAAAGCATAATTTAAATATTATGTTTTGTTCTAAATAATAAGATGAAAATTAATTAAACCAAAAAAAAAAAAAAAAAAAACTTAACCTAAATTTGATTTTTTTTAAATAAAAAATTCATGAAAATCAAATAATAATTTTAAAGTAGTTCCTGATTTATAATCTTTGATGCTCAACTTTGAATGTTATGTATTTAGTCGAGCTAATTATTTTATCAAAGTTTATTTTAAATTTTATATTATATTTTTTTAATACATTTTAACATATTCATAATATATGTTTAACAATTATGCCAACTATACTTGGGATGAGGTTCGAACCTAAGACCTTATATAAATTAAGAGTATGTTAATAATAATAAATAGTTAACGGAATATTCCGTTACTAAAGTTTAAACTAACGGAATTTAGGGTTATTTAAGGAAAGAAAATAATATAATAGAGGGTAAAAAAGGCAAATCATTAAAAGATACTAAAATCAAAATAATATGAACCATTCATTTTAAGAAACAATTAGTACCGACATTTTTTTTGTTCCAGTTAAGGGCCTAACATTATTCGCTCTTATTAGATTTGTAGATGTAGATATACATATTACAATATATATATATATATATATATATATATATATATATATATATATATATATATATATATATATTTAATTTGTAGTGTAGTCTAATTAAGAACTTGGGAAGTGGTTTAATTTAAAAAAAAAAAAAAAAAAAGTGGAGTGTAATTATATAGATTCCTCATTTCCAACGTTTGCAAACACATGCAAGGAGTTAGAAACAGAAAAGGACAAATGCTTTCACTCCTAGCTTGTTTGGCAGTGAGGTTATGTTTTGCATGTCTTTGGGACAGTATAGTATAGTAGTGTCTGATCTGATCTGCCAGAAATCAGTTTGGTAAGTGTACGTACTGTGTGCTGCCGGCCTGCCCTAATTTTCTGCCCTTCTTCCCATTTTGTTCTATATCAACTTCTGTAATTTTCTCTCCATCTTTTCTTTTACTAAAAACAAATTTGAACAACAAATTCAAAAAAGTAGCTAGAACAAGGTTGTTGGCAAACCAACAAACATGTTTCATTCGGATTATGGGCTCTTACTCACCCTAATAAACTAATTTATTATTATTACTACTATTTAATTTTTTGGCGACAGTAACATCCTAAACTATTATTTGAAGGTGTGTATAGGCTTTGGTTGTGTCCGATCCTTAGGAACGACCTTGGCCACTTTGTTGCAGCAAAAGGGTCTCAATGGATGGAGATTTTTACATCAAGAAAAGCCGAAGCAGTGGCTATAAGAGAGGCTCTCTGAGTTTGGTTAAAACTCCACAACTTTGATAACATATATTCATGTTGAAACTGACTCACTCTAGGTTGTAACCAAGGGAGAATCTTCATTCCATTTGGTTCTTAGGGATAAAAAAAAAAAAAAAAAAAAACTTATGAGTGATTTTACTCAAAGTGTTTTTTTTTCTTTCACTAAGCGATCTACAAATCAGACAGTACATCTTTGTGGGCGAGGTAGTCTGTTTCTACGTTTGATTGTCAAATGAAACCCAATTCATCTTGTCTGGGGAGCGGAATTTGTAAATGGTATGTATATGAATAATGTTTACTAACACAAGTTAAATTATTTTTCAAAGAATAAGAGATGTTTCTTTATGTATCATAGAAGGCCTTTAATTAGCAATGAATTAACAAAATATACATTATATATATTTGATATATATATGATGATGAAAAGAATTAAAAGCACAATATATGTATGTATATCAGTATATGTATATATAGTATTTGGGCAATGACATTGTACTTATATAACTATATATATTTGCACCCCTCCACTATCTTCTCGAGTCGAAGTATGGTTATGGGGCTAAGTAATTTCACCACTCCTCCACTATTTTGTCAGTCCAAGTGTGGGCCAGGCCACGGAGCGAGGGAATTTCACCAGTATATATATATATATATATATATATATATATATATATATATATATATATATATATATATATATATATATATATATATATATATATATATATATATATATGCAAATAATAATACATTAATATTTAAGGATCAATCCGCCGCTGCAGAGCCAATTCCCACTTGAAGCCATTGCGAAGAAGAGTTGCCGCCCTTACTGCTACTGCTCTCCTTTAGCCCACTTATCCTCGCGAACTTCAATTTACTGTCAGCTTCATCGTCGTCTCCAATGGCGGCATCGTTGTTGTTGTTGTTCTTGCGTTTTTTGTTGTTAAGGTTGTCGTTTTTGTCTGTGTCGGTGTCCATGAACCAGGGCCGGTGGAGGTGAATCTCCGTGGAGACTTCGAAGCTGAGGCGGTGATTGAGGGAGGGGTTTCTGAGTCGGGAGATTTCGTCGCGGTCGCCGCCGTGGGCGGGGAGGTTGAGGTTGAGGTCGAGGGCGGCGGCGGCTTCGGATTTTTTGGTGTCGATGGGGGAGGGGTCGTGGAAGTGGAATTTGGCGATGGAGGTGTCGGGGGAGTAGGCGTTGGAGGTGATCCAGTGGCAGCGTTTGTGGCCGCCGAGGGCTTGGCCGGTGGAGAAGACGCGGTGGCAGATGGAGCATTCGTGGACTTTGGTTTTTCTTCTTGAAGATCCGCCGCCGCCGCCGCCGCTTGCGGCGGCGGCGTAGGCGCCGGAGTTGGGGAGGAGGAATTCCTCGTGGGTGATGACGTCATCCTCGGCGAGGCTGTCGGTGTATTGTACGTCCTGTTTGGCTGCGTAGCATCCTTTAACTTTCTTGTGGCTGGCTCTGTGTCCGCCTAAGGCTTGGTGCGACGTGAAAACTTTCTTGCAAGCTTTGCATTCAAACAGCCCCTTAGACGACGACGAAGAAGCCGCCGATTTATTGGGCCTAATTTGCGGCTGCAGCCCAACTCGCGGCGCGAGGAATTCCCCGGTCCCAACCGGGTGCCGCCGCTCCTCCTCCTTACTAGCGGACGACGACTCCTCCGCCTCCGCCGCCGCCGCCGGCGGCGGCGGCGAGTACACCCTGGAGTTCGCCAAATCCACCAAACATTTGGCAAAAAGCAGGTCTTCATCCTCGCTGGAAAAATACCCGCCACCTTTACCCGCCCTCAACGACCTTTTCCTCTTGGACCACCCGTGCCCCCTCCGCCCAAAGCTCTCGTCGGCGTCCGATCCCGGCGACGACACCAGCGACTCCTCCTCCTCCTCCGCTTCCTCGTCACCCGACCCGCATTTCCCGTGCTCCAGAAACGACTTCCATGAAAAAAACTCCTGCCCGCAATTCTCACAAACCCTAACACTCTTCAACCTATTAGGGTTCGTCCTCAATTTATACATCCTCTTATTCGCCCCCACCTTATCTTCCCAATCGCTCACCGGATCATCGTCGTCGTCCTCCATGCTCGCATTCTCATATCCGATCCCGTGAGCTCTCATGTGCCCTCCTAGAGCTCTCCCGCACATAAATCCCTTCTTGCAAACCCTACAATAATGCTTAAACGTCGTCGTAACAGCATGCTGTTGCTGTTCTTGTTCAATGCATGCAGCCATGATTGAATTGATTAACGTGGATTGAATTGAAGAGTGATGAATGATGTTTGAGCATGCATGCATGCATGGTGTTAAAGTAGTAGGAAAGGAGTTGTGGGTGATATGATGATAGAAGGGAATGGGAAAGAAGGGATAGGCTAAGCTAGTTTTTAGAGAGAGTAATGGGTGTGTGGAGGAGAGTTGAGAGGCAGAGAGAAAAAGGAGTATTGAGTGGAGAGTAAGAGTGAGAGGTGACAAGTGGAAGGAGCCCAACCCAGTGTTACTATAACGCACGAGACAAACTTTTTTTGCATGTTTTCTTCTCCTTTTCTTTTTCCTTTCAATTACTTCTTTCTATGGTATAACATCCAACAATAATTTTATTTTTTTAAATCAATTAAAATTTAATGTAGTTATTAAAGTTTAAAGAAGTCTAGCTAGGCACGATGAGCTTTGTTCACTTTGTTGTGAGGAGTAAGAGTTAAACTCTACATGTGTAAGTTGAGTTGAATTTGAATTAGTCTTATAGTGGTGGAGATATCATATGTTATATATATAGGCAACAACAAAAAAATTATCTCTAATGTGTAACGAATTTGATGGGTTTGATATTGGCGATCCGACACTCGGCCTTAACTCAAGTGGCTGGTCCAAGACCATTTTGGTTCGAGACTTGAGATGTTCATTTTCTTAATTATGAAAGGTATAATTGGAAAGATTTTAGTTCAATTTTAGGAGATTCTCCAATTCTAAGGGCCTCCCATACTCCGACTCGACAGAGCATTGTGGGAAGATGTAAATCACGGTGATTCAATGGTAAGAGAACAATTTGTAATTAATGTCCATGATTTAAAGAATTTACTTTTTATATTTAGTCCGAGCACCTTAATTGATAGTTTGAGACTTTGAGTTTTATAAAGAGTTAATTCCAGCAATAGTCTTCTGACTATTGTGATTTTCTAAATTTGGTCATCGTCTTTTAATTTGGACGAAATAAACCCTTGACTATCAGAATTGTTCCACCATTAGTCCTTCTATTAATCAAGAGTTAGATAGACATTAGTGAAAGGCTAAAATGATCATTTCCTCTTCTGGGTTTTTCTTCCTGATGTTGGTTGAGTATATGTATACATTACACGCACTAGAGTCCCCAAAGTATATCATAATTCCTACATTTTTAACAATTCAATTTTTAAAGTATATCTCAAATTCTCAATAACAAATTAAGAATGCAAAATTTCAAATTCACACTCACTGCTACAGTGCTGCACCTCACACGGCTTTAGATGGAACAGATTGAAGCCTTTACAATCCACAATTCCAAATAGGCAAATACCGTAGATTTCAGTCGAAGAATATAATCAAGAATGGGAACCTCACGATGTAGAATCATTGACTAAACTCAATAAAGAAGACATACCTAGATTCGCATTCGCAGGGGAAGGCGTGAGGCGGCGGCGACGTCTGCTAGCTTCTAGCTTCATCGTTGGCTGTCGTCTTCTTTGCAGATTCGCATCAGATGGCGGCGTTGTCGTTGACTCGTCGGCCTTGGGCTTGGCTTCGTCGTCGACCGTCGAATTTGGCTGAGTTTGGAGGAGCGACAGATCACAGATACATAGAGTATAATGGGGAAATTAATTAGGGATTAAGAATTTAGATGTTAAGGCATTATAGATTTGAGGTCTAAATTTTAATTTCTAATTGTTAAAGGGTTAGTTGACTTAATTCTATCTCTATAGAGTTAACTCGTCGAACAGGAAGGAGAAGAAGAACCTAGTTAGGGAAAGGACCCTTTTACCCTCTAACTTATCTATCCAACATCATGTTCACGCAAAGACCAATAGTGGAACAACTCTGATAGTTAATGATTTATTTTGTCCAAATTAAAAGACAATGACCAAATTTAAAAAATCACAATAATCGAAAACTATAGCTGGAATTAACTCTTTTATAAATGCACTAGAAAAGGGCTTGTAAAGAATTCTGAATCATATATTCTCAAAGGCAATAATAATTCAACTTTTCCTTAGCTATATTATTGTTTTCGACTAGTTGTGTTAGCCGGTCATCAACTACCTAGATCATAAAATAAATAGGATTAATGAAGGGTGTCTTTGGAAGAGTAATTGAATTGGAGGCTATTCTGACACGCAAATAGTCCTTCACAAAATTATTTGAACAAATTACAATTGAAGTGATTAGAGGAGTGAACCGTTCAACCTAATAAAGATTTCTTTATACAACACAATTAAATTGAGATGCATAATCAAATTAATTGAAATAATTTTAAAGTTGAATTTTATTAATTAAACACATCATTATTTTTTTGTTAGAAACACACTGCCCGGACAGTGACTATCTAATCCTTCTAAATCTGACCCCACATCGAAACACATCATTGTTATTACACATAAACTAAACTAAAAACTTAATGAAACAGATCATCATAATTTATAAGCAGAACGGTATGTTCCTCCGGGCTTCCACCCAACCGGGATGGCGTTGTTGGCGACGATAGTCTTGCCGGAGTCGCCGGTGAGCTTGAGGGAGAACGGCGCGATTAGTCCCGAGCCGGAGTTAAGCTTCCACACCGCTCCCCAAGACTGTTGCATGTCGGACCAAGCGTCGGAGTTGCCTTGCTTCAGTTGAACGGCCACGATGTCGCCGTCGCCTGGCTCGTATTCAATCACCACCGCTAAATAGAAGGGGTTGGACCCCGAATCCACGCTAAAGGTCATCGTGTTCCCCTGGTATTTGCACTCAACTCTATATATATACACAACAATATTTGAAATTACAATTTTTTTTATTACATGAGAAAAAAAGAGAAGTATATAAATTTAGATCTAATCACTCCAACTACATCAAGAAATGGTTTTTTTCTTGTTAGATCAGATCCTTAAACCTGATTGACTAGTTAAGTACTAATGCATGTGCAAATATAAGATTACCTTGTGTATTGAATTTGGAGGACTCCGACAGCACGGAGCTGATCGGCTTTGCCGGAAACCGCCATAGCTCCGAAAGCAGTTCCACTCAAATCAAAATGTGTTGATTCATTTACACATTCCGGGCACTCGTCGGTGATAACCACTCTAACCGGATTGCCTGAACAAGCTGCATTTGTTGTGCACTTCACCTACACACACAAAAAAAAAAAAATACTAATAATAATATATTGAAAAAAATCCAAAAGAATTGAAAAATAAAATTATTTTACTAATATTTCAATAATATTATATTCTTAAATTGTTATATAAATTGATTTACTTCATAACAAGCTCCACATCCTTTGCCAGATTTGAATAGAGAAGGGCCACCGGCTGACACAAAGGAAGAGAATGGTGGCTGTTCTACCGTGTTTTGATATCCACAAGCTCCACCTATTCATGTCCCATACATCAAATTTAATTTAAAATATTATCAACCAAACAAGGTATATAACTTTCATTCTATTTATTACGTCTAACCCCATAAACTAAATACACTCTAAATACTAGTTTCAATAACTTTTACCTACAAAAATCTTTCGTTGGTAAATTTGATTTTTACGATAGCGATGCATGCAACTTTACTTATATTCACCAACTTCTCGTCATAAGAGTGAATAAAAGTTTTTTCTTTTCTTTTATGTTACTAAAAAAAATGGACAAAATCTACGCTCCTATTATTCAACCTTATGAATGAAACAATCACTAGTACAAAAATAGCTTTCTGCATCTGTTGTAGAGACCTTTTTCGTCTGTTATACAATAGATACAGATACAACAGACGCAAATTGATAGCTTAAAAGAAAACGCTTCTTGTCATATATTTACGTACCATCACTTCCGGCGCCACTAGGGGGGCCATACCACGTCGCACCGGCCGGTGACCAACCATTAACAGATTCTAGTTTGGAGACGTTGAGGAGTTTAAGATTGAAGGAAGAACAAGAAATGGAAAGAACAGAAAGTATTACTAAATTAATAATGAAATAAACCATGATTTACTTATATTAAAATTGAAAGGAAAAAAAAAAAAAAAAAAGAAGAGAGACTAATGTGTGATTATTACTACACTTCCAAGATGTGTGGAGATGGATTTGATGAACATTGAACAAGTTATTTATATAGGGATAGGGAGGAATATAATTGTCATTGAATACCAACTCGAACTTTTATTATATTCTTCTCAAATTAAATGGTATATGTGAGAATTTATTATGGTTTAAATTCCATAACTGGTTATATTTACTTTAAAAATACGATTTTTGAAACTAATTAATTGAATTATTTTAGGATTTAGTAACCATATTTGTATTTTTACTTTAATAGTGCTTGATTTTTTTTTCCAAATGTTAATTTTTTGTTACTATTTTATTTGAAGATATCCTAAATCTCTTCACATGGTAATGTATTTTATGGGAAGAATGGTAATATATTTTATTTTTGGATTTACTGACTACATTTATATTTTTTACTTGAATAGTGCTCTTTTAAAAATAAAATATTCATTATTACTTTATTTGAAGATATCCGAAATCTCTTCATCACATGTTAAATAAAATTTAACGAAATTTATACAAAAATAATGTGACCTGTTTTAGATTAAAAATTGAATAATGGAATCATTTTTAAAGACCAAAATGGAACATTATCTAATTGAACAGTAAAAGTTGAAAAAGGAAAACTTCAAGTCAAACATCACAAATGGAAATATAATTAAAAATTAGATGTCAAGCACCTTGTGCTTAGATGGCATGTAATGACTCCTCCATATGAAAAGTCATGAGATCAAGCCAGATAAAAATGTATTTAGCAGCATTTGCGAGGATGCTAAAGATTTAGCAGATCAAAAGAATCTGTCCACCAAAATAATGTGTTGTTCTAGATAAAAGTGCTAATTTAATATGGCATATGATATATTTTTTTAAAAATAACAATTTTTTTGGGTGCTAATGTGGAAATTAAAACTATTGTACTCACCAGCTAAATTCTAATCATCCTCTTGATAAATGATAAGTGTAATTCCAATGAGTATAGCTCTTATCATAGGTTCAAATTCTATCGATGGAAGAAAATAAACATTTTTTTAGAAAAAAAAAATAAAATTGACATCTCACACTAGCAAAAGTAAATATGAAGTAGAAAGTGACCGTCCATATAGTGTTATTTATTTCTCTTAAATCTCTTAACCTAAACTCTTTATAAAAACTAAAAATCAAATAGTTGCATTATTCATAGTCTCCTTTGATTTGAAAATATGTCTCAATTCAATTAAATGATATATTCATTCACAATTAAAAGTCTAAGTTCATAGTTAGACTATATATACATTTATGGTTTATATATTATATATATACTCAACATACTCTCTCACACGTTCAGGAAGCCTCTAAGCAACATGTGTACTATAGTCTCGTATAATCTCGATCTTGCATGAGGTTGACAATGAAACTAAATTAAAGAATGTGTTCTATTTCAATTGAAATTTTAAGTTGACACTTGGATTTGGACTACACTTTTAAGCTGATAGTTCGTGTATAGTTTTGTGGTTAACTTGGACTACACTTTTAAGATGCGCAAATTATGCCCTGGAAACGTGTTCACCATGGCCCAAAGCCCCAAACGAGTGTTGAATAAGCTTGCGCGAAGAGGAAGTGAAACCGCGAAATGTGAAAATGAAGAAGAAAAGTCGCGCTGTTAATTAAGAAAAAAAAAAAAAAAAAGAGAGAAGATAACGGTGCTGTTACCGTTGGGACCGCGTTCACCATGGATGGTGAACACGGTTCCATGGCATAACGATTGTTTAAGATGATAGTCCGTGTATAGTTTTGTGGTTAATTAGTCCTTTTTCCTTTATAAAATATGGAGTAGTAAAATTAAAGGAGTGCTCAAAGGCATCCCTCCAGTTGATAGCCGAATAAATAATTTACTCCATTCACATGGGTCGGGATTGAACCCCCAACCTCATGCTTAAGAGATGAAGTGCTGAACCACCACACCAACCGTGTTGGTTACTAAAGGAATTTCCTAATGGTATATATCAACACCCCAACAAATTATTGTGTGGACCATGGTCCACACAATGTTATGTGGATCATAAGAAAAAGTACATTTTTAATAGAGTTAATACCCAAAATAGTCCCTTGACTATGTCCTAATTACCAATTTAGTCCTCGACTATCATTCTTACCCAATTAAGTCCTCAACTATACAATTTTTACCCAATTTAGTCCTTTGTCAATTTGACTGTTTGTTGACTGTCAAAAGTGGAAATAAAGTTGTAATTTTACAAGTTTTCTCCTTCCTCCTCATTTAGCAGCGCCAAACCATGTAGCAATAAGCTCCGGTTGGGTTCTAAACCTGTCAGTATCGAAGTAGTGGTTATGCATCGGATAGCCCATGAATTTGATTTCCAACGATTTTTTGACGATCGAAATCTGATCAGAGTGTATTGCTGCATGGTTTGGCGCTGCTAAATGGAGAGAAAGGAGAAATCTTGTAAAATTATAATTTTATCCCGACTTTTGACAGTCAACAAACAGTCAAATTAATACAGAGGACTAAATTGGGTAAGAATTGTATAGTTGAGGACTAAATTGGGTAAGAATTGTATAGTTGAGGACTTAATTGAGTAAAAGTTACATAGTTGAGGACTTAATTGGGTAAGAATGGTAGTTGAGGACCAAATTGGTAATTATGGCATAGTCGAGAGACCATTTTGGGTATTAACTCTTTTTAATATACTAAATGTACATTATTTTTTTACTGGATGTACATTATGCAATATAATGTACACTCAGAACAAAAATAATGTACATCCCCTGAATACAATGTACATTATTTTTGTACTGAATGTATATTATTTTACAGTAGACAAAATATGGTTCACACAACTTGTGTGGATCATGCCGGCCATTAAAGAATCAATTGGGCCTGTTTCAATGAATCTTTGGGCTTTCATATCATTTGGCCCAATCCAGTAATCATAAATGTTAATTGGGCTGTTATATATATTATTGTTTTCGACTAGTTGTGTTAGCTGGTCATCAACTACCTAGATCATAAAATCAATAGGATTAATGAAGGGTGTCTTTGGAAGAGTAATTGAATTGGAGGCTATTCTGACACGCAAATACTCCTTCAAAAAATTATTTGAACAAATTACAATTAAAGTGATTAGAGGAGTGAACCGCTCAACCTAATAAAGATTTCTTTATACAACACAATTAAATTGAGATGCATAATCAAATTAATTGAAATAAATTTAAAATTGAATTTCATTAATTAAACATATCATTATTTTTTGTGAGAAACACACCGTCCTGACCGTGACTATCTAATCCTTCTACATCTGACCCCACATCAGAACACATTATTGTTATTACACGTAAACTAAACTAAAAACTTAATGAAACAGATCATCAGAATTTATAGCCAGAACGGTATGTTCTTCCAGGCTTCCACCCAACCGGGATGGCGTTGTTGACGACGATAGTCTTGCCGGAGTCACCGGTGAGCTTGAGGGAGAACGGCGCGATTAGTCCCGAGCCGGAGTTAAGCTTCCACACCGCTCCCCAAGACTGTTGCATGTTGGTCCAAGCGCGGGAGTTGCCTTGCTTCAGTTGAACGGCCACGATGTCGCCATCGCCTGGCTCGTATTCAATCACCACCGCTAAATAGAATGGGTTGGCCCCTGAATCCACGCGAAAGGTCATCGTGTTCCCCCGGTATCTGCACGGAACTCTCTATATATATACACACACAACAATATTTGAAATTACAATTTTTTTAATACATGAGAAAGAAAGAGAAGTATATAAATTTTGATCTAATCACTCCAACTACATCAACAAATGGTAAAAAAAATAAAAAAAAAAATAAAAAATTGGCTGGTTAGAGAGATTCGAACTCCCGACTTCTCTTACCAAACAAAAGTGCATAGCCACTCGCAACCAAGCTGGTTGACTAGTTAGCACTAATGCATGTGCAAATTTAAGATTACCTTCTGTATTGAATTTGGAGGACTCCGGCAGCACGGAGCTGATTGGCTTTGCCGGAAACCGCCATGGCTCCGAAAGCAGTTCCACTCAAATCAAAATGAGTTGATTCCTTTACACATTCTGGACACTCGTCGGTGATAACCACTCTCACCGGATTCCTTGAACAAGCTGCATTTGTTGTGCACTTCACCTATACACACACACACAAAATAATACTAATAACAATATATTGAAAAAAATTCCAAAGGAATTGAAAAATAAAATTATTTTACTAATATTGCAATAATATTATATTCTTAAATATTTAATTGTTATATAAATTGATTTACTTCATAACAAGCTCCACATCCTTTGCCAGATTTGAATAGAGAAGGGCCACCGGCTGACACAAAGGAAGAGAATGGTGGTTGTTCTACCGTGTTTCGATATCCACAAGCTCCACCTATTCATTTTCCATACATCAAATTTAATTTAAAATATTGTTTGGGAACTTTTAAATATTATGAATATTATCAACCAAATAATGTGCATAATTTTCGTTCTTATTTATTGTGTCTAACTTCATGAACCAAACACACTCTAAATACTACTAGTTTCAATAATTTTTACCTACAAATCTTTCGTTGATAAATTTAATTTTTATGATAGTAATGCATGCTACTTTACATATATTCACCAACTTCTCGTCACTAGAGTGAATAAAAACAAAATCTGCGCTCATATTCAACCTTATGAATGCGCGCAAGTCATTAGTACAAAAATAACTTTCTGCGTCTGTTGTACAGACCTTTTTTCGTCTGTTATACAATAGATACAGATACAACAGACGCAAATTAATAGCTAAAAAAATGCTTCTTATCATATATTTTCGTACCATCACTTCCGGCGCCACTAGGGGGGCCATACCACGTCGCACCGGCCGGAGACCAACGGTTAAAAGATTTTAGTTTGGAGACATTGAAGGAAGAACAAGAAATTGAAAGAACAGAAAGTATTAC